GTGTGTGTGTGTGTGTGTGTGTGTGTGTGTGTGTGTGTGTGTGTTTAGGTGTGTGTTTATCGGAGCCATGGGTGAGTCCTGAGCTGTTTCAGGGTAGAACACTGATCGGGGTCTACGTTCAAACTTATCCGTAAGAAATCCTGGCAATCTGGAGAGAAAGGAGAAGAAAGGTGAGGGCGAAGGCTCTGATCCATCACAGTGTGAACTAAAATGAACAGATTTGTGTCTGCCGACATGTTTCCGTATGTTTTTCTTACTTTCGCAGAGCTCGTTTCTGATTCTCAGCTGGTTTGTAAAGAACCCGATGGTATCGAATTCTGCACCACTGTGGAGCGTCTCAAACAGGACCACTCCCATCTGAAACACTGTGGTGGGTCTGGCTCTGTAAATACCACCATTGTACCACTCTGGGGGGGATGTCAGTACCTAGAATATACAGACATAATAAAAAGACAGTGAGGATGAGGAGCTTTGGTTCAATGTAAAGTCACAGATGGGTAAGTTAGTGAAGAGCAGGAGTAAAGCCAGACATCTTACCGAAGAAGACACGGTAAGAGGCTCCTCTCTGAATGAAGCAGCTCACAACAAAGTCAATGAGGCAAACTCGCAGGACGTCCGAGCTGGTCTCGATCCAGATGTTTTCCAGCTTTATGTCCCGGTGGAAGTTGTGTTTGTTCTCAAGATCAATTGATCTTGAACTCGAGAGTCAAAAGCTGACATGGTGGTCACTGCTACTCTGCTAATGAGCTAGTTATCTTTAGCATGCGCTAGCTTGGGTTTTTCCCCATCATGATTGGTTTTAGCTACTGTCTCATTTAGTTACGTGGAATGGCAAACAAACATTTCAAGATATGCAATTAAATTGATATTTTTAATTCATAGGTTAACAGGGAAGAATGTATGTCAATTTAGCTTTAGCTAAGGCTAGCCGTGTCAATCTCACCTGCAGCTTTCACTTGGTATAGCTCCCTTGCTTTAGCTGTCTAGTTGGATCTTTGTATGTGACAGTCGTTGCAAATTTGACATGCTGTTTTCATGGATATTATTTTTTTTTTTATAATGTCATTTTTTTTAACTTAACTAAATTTTGAGTGAGTGTAAGTTCCTGTGTTTGGCTACCTAGCTAGCTGCTACATAGATAGATAGATATTCCACTGCTGTACAGCATTCTTGTTTTATTTAGAAAAAAACGTTTTAAATACATGTCATCAGCTTTTGGCAAAACAGTCAAATACATGGAGTTGGAGATTCAAAATTCAAACATTTAGCTGAATGGAAGGCAACACGGAACATTTAGAATCATTAGCTGTAAACCCAGTTAAAAGTACACAGAAACGTTCCCTTACGTACGTTGTAGTAAAACAGCGAATCCTTGTGAGTTACAAAGTCGACCATACAGCAATTATTTCTGCTCAGATTTAGGTGTGTTTCCTGAATTGTTTGTGATGCTGTGCCAAGACAAACTGCAGATAGCGGCTAGAGAGCCAATCAACAGTGGGGTCACGTGTTCAAGCCCCAGAACAGCCATGTTGCCTGCTTCGCTCTGGATGAGTCCGTCAGCTAAATGTCTAAAACATAACTGTACAGGACAAATATGAAAACTGCAATGGCATACATAGCAATATTTGTTTCTGCAGGGCACTGAGGCTAACCAACTTTCAATTGTCAGCAATATACTTAATTATCAAAAAATACATATACATAAAAACAAAAGCTGGCATCTTCTGCATCTTAATAAATCCTTTGCTCATGTTATGTTTAGTCAATTTCACAAACTTGGACGAAACGGCAAAGAATCTGTATGTTAAATCGGCCGATGAATGAAAATAATAGAGAAGGAATACAGGAATGCAGAGGTGTATAGAACACTTCTCGTCTTCATGTTTGGTTCAACCAAAGCAACACAATGCATAGTCCTCACAACAGGCAGCTGTAGCATACACTTAGTCAAATACCTTCACTCAGCTTTTCGTCGAGGCTACAAAATTATTAGCGATAAAACTGCCGACAAACACTTTTTAAATAGCAGTTCCTTCTAAATGTTCGTTAGCTTAAAAAACAAGGTTGTCTTTAAAACATGTCTTCCTTCAGAGTACAGCTGTCCTACATCATGTCTACAGAGCAAGGAACCAACCATTGTACTGACTTAGGTGATGACAATTATGGACTCTTTAGTCACTCTTCAATATAGATAAATAATAATGAATAAATAACAAGATTAAAAGTCTTCAGCCATGCTAGCAGGCGCTGTGAGGCTGTATGAAGCTTTATTCTGGGGAACAGGGTTGTGAGCTAAATGCTAATGTCAGATCGCTAATATGCTTGCAATGACAACGCTAACGTGCTGATCATTAGTTAGCTACATTGTTCAGCATGTTCACCATCTTAGTATATTCATAAAGCATGGCCTGATTAGATGTTGAAATATTTCATTGGATAATCAGAAAGCTGTGATTTCACGGATCAGCTGTGTCAGGTGGCCTCTTCCTCTGGGCACCACCAACGTCTGGAACCAAACTCCACTCCATCCAGCATTGGTGGAGACATTTCAGTTTGGACCCAAGTGGTGGAATGATTGACCAACATCGCTAGCATGGCTAAAAACCGGGAGTAAATGACAAAGAGACAACTGCAGCTACCACAAGTGGAGGCAACAAACTTGGTGAGTGGTTGTCCATGGTAACAAGGATTTAAGTTATAAAAGGAATTAAGGGGAAGTTCAAAGTCATTCATTTGCTCCAGTAGAGCTTCTCCCAGCTGCCAGCACTTGGGAGAGCAGCAGTGGAGGGCTGTTCAACACTGAAATGACTCATGTGTTTATCCACTCTGTTACACTCGACAAAGAGTCTGAGATTGAAGGAGCCGCTTCGTTTTCTTCTTCAGATCTCCCATTTAACTGCATCTTATCTAAGTAACTCTTCAATGCAGCACGGAATTAGTCAACACTAAATGAAAAAAGGAATTCATTTGAAGTCAGTGGGTCGAGTTACGTAATACCACAAGACTGTATCGCCTCCGTCTGCTCTGCTGAATGTGACTGTCATTGGATGACTGAAATCTACAGCTGGAAGTACAGTGGTCTGTGCTCATAATGGACCTGTCAGATACTTGGGTTTTACTTGTTGTTTTGTTCCGTATTTAAAGTATGAGCATATTGCATGCTGAATATTTTCATGTTCCACTGTGCTTCCACATGAATGATATTCTGTTTCTCATCACACGTGCAATGGTGAGAGAATGAAAAGGCCAATCAGTGCTGCTACTACTACAACGACCACACCCTATAGCACAGGACCAATACTTTGGGTCTCCTGCTGTCCACAGGAGGTGTATGGAGACCCTGGTGGGGGTCACGCAGCAGGAAGAACATATGGAGGAGGACATCAGGCCACTGTGTATTCAAGCCACTGGAGGGGGGGGGGTCAGAGATTAAAACAATTTCTTTTGAGAAAAGTGCTGTAAAATTATGAAAATAAAGTTCTAATTCATGGGGGAAACAAATATTGTAGGGTTGTAATATTCTGAGAAAAAGGTGAAAAATGTCAAGAATCGAGTAGTTTTTCTACATAAAACAGGAATATCATCATGTGTTGAGGAAATAGTTGATACATAAAATGTATTGTAATTTTCCATAAAATAAACTGTTGAAGATGAAGTCAGAATACAATTGTACTTCTTAAAGGAGAAAAGTTGTAAGATTAGAATAATTAAGTAATACTGTTTCAAGAACAAAGTAATAAAATTATATTTTAACTGTGGCAGTAAACAGGCCAGTCAGCTGGTGTCAGAATGAGAGATGTGGATGGCCTTAACTTCCAGGTTTTCTTATCAATAAGCACTTAATGCATTAACGTGCTTATTGGAAGGATAATGAATCATAACCTGTGAGTCCATAACTGGATGTGTTTTGAAGCACCGGCTGGAGACCCTCTCATTTAACTTTTATTTCATGACATTGAACCTTTTAATGTTAAATTATAACTATTGTCGAAATCTGTTGACTTTTCCCTCGCGTGACGCTACCAACGTCACAGGTCCACAGGCGTTGAGACGGAGCGCAGATCGTTTAGATTAGAGTTTGAGGATGACAAGAAAAGAGCACGTCAATGTGTCGACACTCAAAGGTTCAATGGGAATATGCCCATACGGCTACGACACTGCACACTTACAGTCAACACAGAAATGTATCATGTCTAAACAAATGAAACACCACAATGTGTGCTTTTAGTGCAAAAGCATATCGGGGAGGATTCCATCATTTTGTTTGTTATGATGAGTTCTAACCTTTTCATCTGTCCTTTCCCCAAGCGTCCGCTTACTTCATTTGTTCCTGACTCTCTTTTTACTTCTTTTCTTCCTCTTTACTCCTTCTCCTATGTCCCTTTCTCCACCAACCTCACATCCATTTCTTTCAGATGCCCCCCTCCCCTCCCCTCCCCCTGCACATCTCATCTTCCTCTTCCCCCTCTAGGATCCAGCCTCCTGTTCCTGTCCCAGGGCCTCCAACAGGAGTCCCATGGGTGTCCTCTTCAGACCGATGCTCTCCAGTTTGTTCTCCAGCTTGTTCTTCAGGCTGCGCAGCCTCACCGACGCATGGACCAGAACCACTGGACACAGAAGGGATGAGGGGATCGGTTCATTACTCACATCACCATCATCTCTCAGATGATTATCTGAGAGACTTATTTCCCTCAGAGGAACCAGGTTCATATTAGAAATGTTTTAGAGGTATATTTCATCATATCTTTGTAGGAGGCTCCCTGTTGTTTGACCTGATCCAGTTACAATTTGCTGTTAATGCAAATGTATACTCGTTATCTTGATAAATTCAGTATTATGCGCTCTATAAAACTAATTCCACAACTATGTCCAACTAACTCATTCTCACTCGCAACTTCCGTCGCTTGGTTAGCTTTGGACGCCTAAGGGACGGCAAGTCAGTTTCTGTGTTTGTATGTTGCACACAATACAGTCTTCATGCTCCAACTGCAAAGCAAAAGCAAATGAAAACTGGGCTGATGAACGTTCAGTTCATGCTTTGGTGTGGTATGTATGTAATGTATCTATGTACATGCGTGTGTTCCTGTCTTACTCAGTATAGGGAAGGCAATCCCAAACAGGAACACGGCCACACCTCCCAGCACCGACACAAAGAGGTAACTGGCCGAGAGAATCGCCAACACGGCGATCGTAGGGTGGTTTCTACGGAAACGGCGAATGGGAGCTTGGTTCTCGGCGACCCAGACGAAGCCCAGGAACAACAAGGTGACCACCGTCGCCCCCACGAGCAACTGGTAGGGCTGGCAATACCTGAGAGACAAAAGACACGTTTACCAACACACAGAAGCGTTGAAGACACTGAGTAACATTATTGTAGAGTAGACAGAATGGGGTGCTGGCAATATTCTGTATTGTTTCTTATTGTTAACAAATCCCGCATGCAGATCCAAAGTATAAAAAGGATGCATCGAAGCCAGATATTATCTTCTCCCACGGTGCCAAAGAGCTCCATTTTAGTCCAAGAACTATTAAAAACACATCAACGAGCCACACGGTGGCACTGAAGCAGATTTGATTCCATAGTTTTAGCTCTACTTGTAGATGACTTCATAAAACAGGACAAGTCTTCGTGCTCTCTTTTGCACTGAAACACTACAAACACGCTCGAGTCTGGCCAAGGTAAGAAGACAAAAGTCGTCTCGTCCAAGTAGTAGAGAATGTAAAAAATGATAAATAATAATCATAATTTTTGCCTCTAAGATTAGCTTTAGTTCTGATTTTGAAGTCGCTATGAAAGCTAACGTTTTAAGACACTTCCTCATTGGCTTCAATGGCGGAGTTGAGTTTGCCATCTGGTCAGAATCAACGAGCTTGGGCCAGACGGACTAACAGAGTCGCTTAAGGCTGCATCTGAAATCCATCGTTCACTACAGTCCAACAGCAATGGTGAAAAGTAACTAGCCACCAGCTACCCTGCAGTATATACAGTACACTAAATGATAAGCCCCACCTGTACCAGCTGGAACATTGAAGGGATGAACACATTAATGCATCAATAATTATGATACAATAATGTATATATCATTCTGGAAAAGGGCCGTTCTACAGAGTGACTACTTTTACTTTTGGTTCTTTAAGTATATTTAGATGTTAATACTTCTGTACTTTTACTTTGGTAAACATTTGAATGAGTATTTCTACACAGGGGTATCAGGCTACTTTTACTGAAGTCAAATCCCTGAGTGCTTCTTCCTCACTCAGCACTTTCCTCTCCAAAGGAGAGCAGGATATAGGAATATTAGCATCATTAGCATTAGCTAAAGGCTGCTGTAGCCTTAAGTCTGTTCTCTTATTTGTTCTGTGTCATGTTGGAGGAGAACGTCAAACACACTGTACGTCCACAGTGTTCACTACAGGCTTCCAGTGCGTTCGTTTCGACAGAGACAGAAAGGGTTAGGGGTGACGGGGTGACCACGTCAGAAGAATGAAACCTACCCCACCACGAGCAGGAGGCCCAGCGCAGACACCAGGTAGTTGCTCTGGTAGTACAGCAGGTTGTTGATGATGCGGTTGTTCCAGCGGTCCAGGTCGCGCACATCGGGCGCGGAGAACCGGGCCGAGCTCAGGAGAAAATCATCCAGGCTCCGGAGGGGTGGCGGCTGCACGCCTGCCATCTTTCCTGAGCGATAATAAACTCAATTTCCCAGAATGCGCGGCGGGGTAAAAGGGGGGCGTGAGCGAGATGGGGGAAATATTTACCGAAATATTTGCACAATTATTACTTAATTATCTATTGCTCATTCATAGTTTGTCAGTCAGTCTGACACGTAAATAAAAACCCTAAATAAATAAAAAGATATATAAGTAAATGTATATATATAATGGAGAAAAACACAGTGAATAATATATATATATATCAATTTAAAAAAATGAGAGTAAATACCACCTGTATTTCAGGGAAAATTGTATTTAAATTGTGTGAGTAATTAGTCAAACCTAATTATCAACGATACATTTGTGATTGACATCAGGCTCCTCAGAGTTTCACTCAGGCCATTCTGTGGAATTTCAAAATGAAAGCTCTCTAATGTAATATGTATATCTAAATGTAATATGTGAGCTATGTTGCACCTAAATTCAAATCACTTAACTAGTAAAAAGGGAAACGTTGTGTGTCACTTCAGAATGATAGCAGACCACCTCAGAGTGTAACCCATACAGTATCAAGGTATCCCAATGGGAATTGAATGCCTTATAATATGTCAATACAGCATATCTGTAAGCATAATAGGGGCTCAATGAGAGAATGCGGTGTTTGGATTGTTAAAAAAAAACAGGAAAAGAAGGCAAATATTTTTTGCAACTAATGACAATGATTGTGTCTGAATCTTTTAGTCTCATTCAGTGGATAAGAATGAAACACCTCATTTTATTATTTTCCTGAAAGAAGGCGAGCAAATCCATCTAATGTAAAGGAGTAAGCATATATGGCCAAATGAACCGAACGACTGGTGTGGAAGTGATGTAACAGTCAGTTTGTTGCTGGCCATTCTAATTTCACATATCTTGCACGTCGCTAAATAGCTAAAACGTCCCCTACAGCACGATGCTTTTCCTGTCGCCCTAATAGCATAAGTAAGACTGTTTTTACTGACGAACTACACTCTTGAACCTCTGTTTTATAGATCTTTCATTGAATCAACTTTAAATGTCCTCCTGATCTCCTGGTTTGGGAATCTTAAGGCGAGGAGTGAGACAAAGCTTCAGAGAGTGGTGGACACCTAATCTAAGATTACAGGGGTATCCCAACACACTATGGTCAGAAAGGTCCACCAGTCCCACTGACCGTACTCCCTGATTGACCCAGCAATGCCTCTCTGGTCAGCTCAAAAGCCCTCCTGTTGTGACCTGGAGGTAAATTGAACCCCAGAGTGGTGTACGAGTGCTGGTTGCTGCGTCCCCATCAATGTGTATTGTAGTGTCATCTTCTGCAGTGCATAACCTTCATCCAACCTTACTGAAACATCATTGGGACATCTTACCATAACGTTATACCGAATACCTAACCCAAACCATGCAGGGCAGGGACAAGGAACTGATACCATAGTTATTACTCAGCATGGATGTGTTGTTGTCACCGTATGTCTGTTTCTTTCTTAAAAACCAGCTGATAGAAGAGACAAAAACATGCTATTATTAGCATTTGGTATTGGGAATAAGTTATAAGTACCCTAAAATGAATGAACATTGTGTACAGTTCATGCTACATGTGCATGCTGAGACCCAAAACCTGCACATGCCAAGAGAGTCTATGCTCACCACTAGCCCTGTCTTTTATCTAAACTATAAGGCGTATGTTATTCGATATTCTTCTCGCTGTCAACAAATCCCATGACAAGACCAACACCAACAATGTGTTAGTTGGTCTCTCGATACCTCCGACCTCACCACACCTGTCTGTGGCTGTCAGACCTCCTCAGACAATCTTTAACAAATTCCTTGCAAATGTATAGATTCTTTCAAAACAAACACAGAACCGCGCTCAAACAGGACTAAATACCGCATTTGTCTATTTTTTGAAGCGGATTAATACACGCCAATGACCATTTATGGCGGCCATATGGGATTAAATCAAAGATAAACAAGGCCCGGGTTCTTCATAATGAGGGAACATGCTGATATATTGTTGTAATTGGATGATAATGACAAGCTATATCAGGTTTGGCTCCACAGGCGTTAATTGTTTGTCTACAAAGACTATAAATCTAAAATACAGAATATCACAGCCTCATGCTTCAATTTAACATCATGGACACACGCGGTGAGCTGTAAACGGCCTCCGAAAGGAGCCCAACAACTTTTATTGTGAAAGGCTAGAGAGCGAGGGGAGGGAGGAAAAGGCAGTCGGGAACGCGCGCTGTGCTGTACACTCGTGCTACTGTGGGTTTATCCGGTTGGCTGCTGCGGGTGCCGGGATCGCGCCCGGGCGGCTCCGTAAAAAAAAGAAAAAAGAAAAAAAAGAAAGGCAGTGATCTCGGTGTGACAGCTCAGAGCTGTCCACGTCAACACACCGAGCGAGCACGGCGGCGATGGACTACGCGACTCTGGTGAGCCTCTCCGTTCACCTTTAGTTTCGGGGTCCAGAGGGTTCAGGTTCTGAACGTGTGTAAGCTTATTTTTTCTGTACTGCTTGTATCAGCGCACGGGACCATTTGTTGCATTATGGCAGTTTCGGAGGTGGGAGATACTGGAGAGGGAGAGGGAGCGAGGGAGCGAGGGAGAGAGGGGTGGGAGGAGGAGTGGAGGGGGGAGAGGCTGCAGATCGTTCATAAATCAGGAATGGGTTTGATTCATTCTTTAAATACACGATCGCGATCATGTTATGCGATCGCGGACGCGCACAGGCCTGGTCTGATCCCAGTAGTGTTTCACGTGCAGACAGCGCGTCTAAAAGACAGTTTTTTGTTCTTGTTCTTGTAAAATAGTCTGCTACAGGGGATCGTCTGCGCTGGTTTCGATGTGACAACTTCTAGTCAGGTGTTAACTTAACTCCGTTACAACAGACCGGCTGAGCCAGTCAGTTGTTATCTACTTATCCAGGCACAGTCCAGCGCGGAGCGCAACAGGGCACAACTAAAGCCAGACTACAGCCCGTAGAGACACAGTCAAGTGTCGCACGAGGGGGGCGGGGGGCGATTCGCGTGGCAGTGTGTGTGTGTGTGTGTGTGTGTGTGTGGCTGGCTGGCGTGTAGTTAAAAGCGCGTGTGCGTGCGTGTTTAAATGTCCGCTTGTGTGGAGCGCTATGTGCACAGATCGGTTGACGTGTAGAGCAGAGTAGGTGCCACGTCCTCTCTCTCTCTCTCTCTCTCTCTCTCTCTCTCTCTCTCTCTCTCTC